TAACTAGGGTTGGCTGGCTCTCCAATGATTGTAGAAATAGATTCCTTATGAACGAATGATAGCGTAGCGATAGAGGCTGGTATATGTGCTAATTCAAATATGCCTGGAAGATTTGCTGTAAGCATGGTTGCAATAGAACGAAAGAAAATTCGCTGTGTTTTTGCCCTTCCTTCCATTCAACAAAAAAAAGAAATTAATCCTCACCAAAGCCGCAAACACTCATAGCTTCTGCAATCCCCACATCGAAATTTTCTTCTCGTAGTCTTTTCATCAACTGCTCATCTTTGAAAACTCCTCAACAATATTTTTTTAGAAATCAAATGAACGTATTTTCAAAAACAAGCTCACTTTCGCACTGGTAAGTGAATGACTTCGTCATAATCTGAGCCGTCTAAAAAAGAAAATCTTTGTTGTAGTTTAGCGCATTATTCTTGACATTTAAGTATGTACCTCTAACATTACCAATATACTGGGTTGTGAGATCCACATCTTGCTGAGTATATCTCTTTTATCCTTACTCATTTCAGCAACGCGCGGATCACATGGGACTTTGATGATATGTTGCGTGAGTTTCACTCCAGTTTTATCTTGTTGTTCAATATCCATAACTGGCATCAAGATAGTCTAGAATACGAGAGGTTTATTTTCCCTTGAAGAATGTAAAGCATAGTAAAGTCAGTATGAGAACAGCATGTTTGGTTAGATAGGTTACAAAAGGAAAATTGTTACATTACCACATTGTGTCCCGCTTCTGTTAGCGTATCCGCTATGGCACCCATAAAGTTTGTGTGAGAATAGCCAAAGATAGGTGAATATACAAGAAATTTGTAGCCGTTACATGTAAGTAAGGTAGATAGCAGCAAAAAATAGCACCACATCGATTCTAGAAAGCTTTTTTTTCAAAAAAAAATCACGTAATATTACAATACTCCTTGATAAATATGAACAGTATATTAAACAGACAGTTTGGAAAAGTGAGAAGGTGACGTGAACAAGATTAATATAATACATGTTTCTGCGAGTTTCAAAGTTAGATAAATTTTGACTACTTGCCGATAAAAGTATAGCAAATTTTGATTTAAATAGAGCAGTTTATGGAGTTTATGTCTGTGTTGCGCTTATCAGCTTTTGGCGGTACTCCTGATAGGCACGCATAAATCAAACAAAGGACATATGTTGTTCACGAAGCTAGAACGATTCCTGATAATCCAGAAAGCCTACGATCAGCATAAGTACACAAAGGGGGATAATTCAGTGAAAAGAACTAAAGCAATCCTGAGCAAAAAATTTGTAAAAGAGTTCACAAAATCTCCGTTTTTAAATATGTGTATTATGCGAATAATGAGTTTTTCTTATCTTATCTTCCATAAAGTGAACAACACCTACAACTTCGCTATCTGAACAAAAGCTGTTGTAGCCTTTAACCCTACTGTGGCGGAGATCTTTGAAACACTGATATGATTGCATGATTTTGTAAATTACAGGTCGGCTTGCTTGATAACTAATGCTAAATGTAATGACATATATCAAATCAAGCAAGAAGATCATGGGCTACTTACCGTCGCGAATACGAGAGCAGATCAGCAATTCAAGCTACACGTAGCGGTGTTCACATCATTTTGAATCGCGCGTTGAGAAAGTATCCTTCTTCTGTAAGTCCATTCGATATGGTTACTCATTTTAGCATTTTCCATTACTACCTTGTTTGATGCAAATGGGAGAAATCCATTGAGAAAGAGAGAAAGAGATAAAACATTTTTGTGACTTAGCAGTCACATTATAGTCAGTGTGTTAATGGGTTCTCTTGCGTTTGTTGCGACATACTAAGATCATAATTGAGTCATGAATTCAAGGTGAAATTACTTTCTGTAGCAAAATAGTACTGAATAAATATTAGCAGTTTAAGGAGAATTTAGATAACCACTTTCGTGATTTTCTTGTCATCAATCATTACTTACTTCGAATCACCTGATTACGTCATACATGTGCTGGTTTACGCAAAAAATGTGACCTTATCACCTAGTTTTCGAGACAAGTTGTGTCCAAGCTCCGATTACTGATATAATCTGCTACCAATCGCTGTATACTACAAACTTGAAATTCTGATTAATTAGTCGTGTAGTTTATTATTTATCCACATACTCAGCATATTTGAATGATCTATTAATGCAGGATGTCTTCCACCGGGCGAAAGCTCACATCCATTCTATAGAATATGCTTACAATACAACTTCTTCTGTACCTTTGACTCCATACTATTTTGCTCAAGTTGTTCACTTCATGCTTTCTACACATATCCTTTAGAAAAAGATGAAAGAAATGAGTTCATTCCTAATAGCAATAGGTGATATGACTTTGACAAGGGTTCTCTAGTAAGAAAAATAAAGTTTATGATCGCTCAAATGGAAAAAGAACCTTGTGCCGACTGCAACAATTTATGACGACGTAGTTTTCACAGAAGAAAATCAAAGAAGCGGACTATCAAAGTTGGGACCAACATATTAGTAGCATTAGCAGCTCGGCACTAGATATGACAAGATGAAATTCCTTGAGCTTATTATATTCGAGTTAGGGATTGCAGTAAAATGTTGCGTAGAATTCCAAAGCTCAAACGATCTTGTTAGCTAACTAAGTCTCAAAATAGAAAATTAGTGCACTTGAAATTGATGTCAGTGAATGGTTTTTAATTCGTCAATTGATTGAAAGTTCTAATATCAATTTCCACTAATATTAATGCTAATATCTAGTCATTAAGGATGATCCGATGTTGCACGATACTACTGCTATTCTTGTTTGCTTGCCATGGCTACAAATTTCTTGTATATTCACCTATCTTTGGCTATTCTCATACGAACTTCATGGGTGCAATAGCTGATACTCTTACAGAGGC